ACATTATATATTGTTCAAATTTTTGCTGATATTATTATTATTACAGTACCATATAAATAATAAATAATTTTCGATTTTTTATTATTATTATTCATATTATTATTATTTATTAGTCTTAGTATTATAATTTTAAAAATAGTAATTTAAAAAGTTGTTGTTATGGGCGTTTTATTAGTATTTTTCTCATATTATTATTATTATTATTATTATTATTATTATTATTATTATTATTAATATTATTGTTGTTGTTGTCACCTTTATTATCGATATTATTACCCTATTATTACTAAGTAGGCATAGTATTATAAGTATCATTATTATTATTATTATTATTACTAATTAGTATTTCTATTGTTATTAAAATATACATTATCTTTAATTTATTATTGTTGTATTATTGCTATTATCACCTTCAATATCGTTATTACCACTAATTAGTTATTAAAATTGATATTTAAATATTGTTATTATTACCATACTAGTATTATTACTATTTGTTAAAATAAATATTACTATTAATGTTGTTGTTGTTGTTATCACATTTATTATCGTCATAATGACTAATTAGTATTATTAATGTAAATATTACTCATTTATTGTCGTTATTGTTGTTTAATATTATTGTTGAAGTAGAATGTTGTAAGTAAACAGAAGACGAACACATTAATAAATAACTCTTTTTAATTCATAGGCAATAGCATTCAAATCTCTTTTGGTAGTGTGGTGGTCCTGTTTTACTAAAACATACTGTGTACTTTATTTCAATCATATATTGAAGAAAAAGGATGCAAAACACTTACATTAAATAACTTTTGGCCGAGTTGACTTGTGGCCTAGTTGATTTGTGGCCGAGTTGACTTGTGGCCGAGTTGGCTGTAGCCGAACTTTTGTGGCAGAGTTGATTTGTGGCCGAGTTGACTTGTGGCCGAGTTGACTTGTGGCCGAGTTGACTTGTGGCCGAGTTGACTTGTGGCCGAGTTGACTTGTGGCCGAGTTGACTGTGGCCAAGTTGACTTGTGGCCGAGTTGACCTGCACCGTCCCATGGACCATTCCCAGATCGGGTGCACGCCAAGAGTAAGACATCAGGTCCATCTGGTGTGGACTGTCGGGCCCAACTTTCTAAAATACTGTATATTTAACATAGGCCTACAGGTATTTATTTTAAGAATTGTAGTTAAAATAATCATATATTTATTTATTTTATAGTCAGGCTCCGGAGGGAAAAAAAATTTCTATATCTACAACATATCAAAAATTTTTTTTCCTCCGGAGCCTAACTTTATTTATTTATTTTGGTATATCATGGATTAATGGACTTGTTCGGTGTAAAACACCAAGAATCACTGTAGTCCATGAAAGTCTAAAAGATTTATTTCCATTGGGGTTCTGGTGGTGATTGGGCAGTACACCGGGAGACAATCCCCTTCTCTTTTCTTGAGTGTACTGCATTCTTTAACTTACACACGGGCCATAATGCACACAGGACCAAAAGCTTAAACGTCTCATCCGAAAGACGGTGTGCTGTTGTAACATGCATTTTAGCCTGTCAGCTGAAACACAAGGAGAGAAGCAAGGGGAATTGAACCTTGGACCTAGAGATCTTTACGATTCAGCGCACACACAGTGGCTACCCCAGTATAGCTGACTGAGCTAAGCTGCTCAAACATCAACAATGACAAACGACAGCCATGGGCTGAGAGGATTTGCTTACAGTCTGACGATCATACCCACAAGTTGATCAGGCCCAGGATGATTGGGCCCATTTCCAGACTATCGAATAGGCCTGGAATAGGCTAATATTTTTGAAATGGGTGGACAAATTTCTAGGCATATATTTTTTCTCTGTTTACACCCTCTAGTAAAGTGTGACCAGGACCTAGTGTTCTAGATTTAAATGCACTTCTTAATTTTAGCCTCAGATAATTATTACTCTAAACTAAAAATTTTTTGTTTTTTTTATTGTTTCTCAAGTATTGTAGGCTATCTACTCATTTAACATGGTTCCTTTTTTTTCAGTTGTTTATGAACATAGATCACGGTTAGAAAAGATTCTACAAAAGGAGAAATCCGACCATAAAAGAACAAAAGAAGGTCAGTGTTAGACATTGTGTATAATATGATAATGGCTGATAAATATTTTTATTTTTTATTATTTTTGTTTTTCACCTTAATATAATAATCTCACCCTTAAACCAATATGTACCAATCCACAAAGGTTTTCACTTCTGTCTGCCTTTGTCAAGATTACACAAAAACTAATGAATGGATCACCATAACATTTTAGTGAAATGGTACATAATAATCAAAGAAAGACACCTTTCTGTTTTCTGAAGAAATGGTCAAAAGACAGTTCAAGGTTAAGGAAATTCACTCTTTTTTTGCCCTCAAGCATAAAAGAAAATAATGGAATCACTCCTTGTATTCAGTCAGCACTCAAGAATATATTGTGCCTGAATACGAGGGCGATTCCACTATTTCATTGAGGGTATGCTGCAGTTTCGCCCACCATACACAGCCCGCGTATATTGAGGCCCAGGGCAGAGGTATGCACTCCATGGATTGTCTGCTCTTGTTTATTATTTGTTGTTTAATACTGCCAATAAACAAACTAAATTTTTTACCTGCTTGGCAGAGGAAATAACAAGTATAGGAGGAAATTAGAGCTCCTATAGAAACATAAAATTGCTAATAAATATAAAGTATACTGACATTCTGATAATAATATACTGGAAATCTGGTAAACCTTTCTTGATATATCTTATGGGAGGCCATTACATTCTATTAGGTCTTTGTTAAATATCAGCAATTAATTTATTAATTAGTTGATTACTATACGTAGTGATAATGAATCATTTGTTTTCATTTTTTCAGATAATGATGTAGAGTTAGGTAGAATTAAGGTAAGAATTTTAGCATGAAGCAAAAGAAAATTTATTTTTGTGGAAAATAGATCAAAAAACAAAATCTTAAAAGAGATAAATGAAAAAAAATATTTCTAGATAAATGATGCTATTTAAACACTATTTATTTGGAAAGAAAAATACTGTTCTCAAAAAAATACCACTCCATAATAAGCACCACAATTTTATAAATGTGCCAGCACATATTGGATTGTAACGGTAATTGTTAAAATATATTATATATCTCTAGTTATTTATTAAAAATATACATGTATGTTAATATGAATGAGGGCATCAAAATATATGATGCCTTATAATGCACACTGTTTATTATGAGTAGCCAATCAAAAGGGGGGGGGGGGCGGGTTGTGGCACTGCATCCCCAAGCTTCTTCCTCCCTTGGTTTTTTTATGTTAATGTTAAACATGGATGAGGGTAATTAAATATAGCATTTTCTTTGTTTTTGTTTACAGCAAGAATCAACGAATAAGTACAACAGTCTAAATGCACAACATAAAATGCTTAAGGTAGTTTGATTATTTTTCACCCTGAATTTGTCTATATTAGTTCCTCAGCATATGTGGCAAAGACAAGCCAAACCAGTCACTCATCGCAAAAATCAATTTTTAGTTATTAATACAAGGTTAAATAGTAAAATGAGAGCTATAAAATGATAAAAGAATCATTAACATTTCGTTAAGAAGTTACAGGAGTTTAAACCTACAGCTGTTTAAAGAACAATATTTGAGTAATCAGCATACAAAGTTTATGATTTCAGGCATTTCTTAGGCATGATGTACAGATATAAGAACAAAAGAAGGTCAGTGTTAGACATTGTGTATAATATAGTGGCTGATAAATATTTTTATTTTTTATTATTTTTGTTTTTCACCTTAATATAATAATCTCACCCTTAAACCAATATGTACCAATCCACAAAGGTTTTCACTTCTGTCTGCCTTTGTCAAGATTACACAAAAACTAATGAATGGATCACCATAACATTTTAGTGAAATGGTACATAATAATCAAAGAAAGACACCTTTCTGTTTTCTGAAGAAATGGTCAAAAGACAATTCAAGGTTAAGGAAATTCACTCTTTTTTTGCCCTCAAGCATAAAAGAAAATAATGGAATCACTCCTTGTATTCAGTCAGCACTCAAGAATATATTGTGCCTGAATACGAGGGCGATTCCACTATTTCATTGAGGGTATGCTGCAGTTTCGCCCACCATACACAGCCCGCGTATATTGAGGCCCAGGGCAGAGGTATGCACTCCATGGATTGTCTGCTCTTGTTTATTATTTGTTGTTTAATACTGCCAATAAACAAACTAAATTTTTTACCTGCTTGGCAGAGGAAATAACAAGTATAGGAGGAAATTAGAGCTCCTATAGAAACATAAAATTGCTAATAAATATAAAGTATACTGACATTCTGATAATAATATACTGGAAATCTGGTAAACTTTTCTTGACTTACCTTATGGGAGGCCATTACATTCTATTAGGTCTTTGTTAAATATCAGCAATTAATTTATTAATTAGTTGATTACCATACCTAGTGATAATGAATCATTTGTTTTCGTTTTTTCAGATAATGATGTAGAGTTAGGTAGAATTAAGGTAAGAATTTTAGCACGAAGCAAAAGAAAATTTATTTTTGTGGAAAATAGATCAAAAAACAAAATCTTAAAATAGATAAATGAAAAAAAATATGTCTAGATAAATGATGCTATTTAAACACTATTTAATTGGAAAGAAAAATACTGTTCTCAAAAAAATACCACTCCATAATAAGCACCACAATTTTATAAATGTGCCAGCGCATATTGGATTGTAACGGTAATTGTTAAAATATATTATATATCTCTAGTTATTTATTAAAAATATACATGTATGTTAATATGAATGAGGGCATCAAAATATATGATGCCTTAGAATGCACACTGTTTATTATGAGTAGCCAATCGAAAGTGGGGTGGGGTTGGGGGTTGTGGCACTGCATCCCCAAGCTTCTTCCTCCCTTGGTTTTTTTTATGTTAATGTTAAACATGTATGAGGGTAATTAAATAGAGCATTTTCTTTGTTTTTGTTTACAGCAAGAATCAACGAATAAGTACAACAGTTTAAATGCACAACATAAAATGCTTAAGGTAGTTTGATTATTTTTCACCCTGAATTTGCATTCTACAGTAGTCTATATTAGTTCCTCAGCATATGTGGCAAAGACAAGCCAAACTAGTCACTCATTGCAAAAATCAATTTTTAGTTATTAATACAAGGTTAAATAGCAAAATGAGAGCTATAAAATAATGAAAGAATCATTAACATTTCGTTAAGAAGTTACAGGAGTTTAAACATACAGCTGTTTAAAGAAAAATATTTGAGTAATCAGCATACAAAGTTTACGATTTCGGGCATTTCTTAGGCAGAAAACATTAAAACATTGAAAATGAGGAAAATAACAGCATAGCATGATGTACAGATATATAAAGGTTAGTTTAGTACAATAAAATAGATTTCCATAATGTTGACATTCCAGCTTGTTTTGGCCATTATCTCTGAAACAGGATGTGACGAGTGACTGGTTTGGCTTGTCTTTGCCACATATGATCACATTAAGAAGAATCTCAAAATACATACAAATAATTTGTTTAATATGACTAATAAATAAAAGTGTTATCCTTGTAAAGGGATTGCCACTTGAAAGTGGATACATGTAAGTTTGCTGTTTTGCATATACAGTATTTGGCCGTTGACCCTTAAGTTAAATATTTAAAAAAGGAACACGATCTTCAAATAAAACAACAAATGCCAAAATGTAACTCAAAAAAAAACCCCAAAAAACTTGGATCACACTAACAAACTAGACACATCATGAACGTCAGTACATTTAAATCCAGCCACCTCAAAAACGAAATATCAATTGTTTGTATTAAATTTGCAATACATTTTTTTAATTGTATGGATTTAGAGTCGCCACGATGAAATACAAGCCGAGTTTGATGCCCACAAAGTTGAGCACCAGAACTTAGTCGGTGCCCACGAACGACAGAAGTATGAACATCAACAAAATATTAGTGAAATGAAAGAAAATCATGAAGTAGTAGTTGCTAACTTACAAGGTGTGTTGATTTCTATTGATTTCATATTTGGTATTATTTATCTACTTATACGTATTGTATTTTATTTACTTATTTATTATTATTAATTTATCTAAATATTTATTTCTGGTATTTATACACATTTTTAATTTATTTACTTATTCACCTGTTCATATATTTTATAATCTATTATTCTATCTATTTGAATATTTTATTAAAATAGATTTTTATTATACCAGTATTACAGTAGAACCTTGTTTTGACGTACCTCAGTTATACGAACCCTCAGTTTTACATACGCCTCAATCGGATGATGACGTCATCAAAAACTCCCAAAATACTCAAAACAAACGGCCCTTTTCCGGGGTACCATAATGTACAAAGAGATTTGTACTATAAGTATAAACAAACCATATATGGCAAATAGTTTGCATTATATAATCTATTTCACGCAAAGCTAAGTAGAAAGAAATTATTTTGAGCTCCGACAGTAGTTGTTCATCTCACTCAGTCCATGTGGTTTTAACAGCGCATTAATTAGACAAAATGTTGCTATTGAATGTAAATATACTTTGCATATGGTTTATTTATTGTTATAGTATTGCAATAATAAACAGACAGAAACTAAGCAATCTCTTTTTACATAATGGTGACTCTGAAAAGGGCTGTTTGTTTTGAGTATTTTGGGGTTTATGATGACAAACTGAGGGTTCGTATAACCATGGAGAAAATAAAATAAACTGAGGTACGTAAAAACGAGGTTCTACTATATATGAAATATATACTATAATGTATATATATGTACATTAAATATAGATATATATATATATATATGTACTGTATATATATACACTATATATATATATATATATGTACATACATACTTGTACTTGTTTACAGTATGTACTTTTATAGTCTATTTGTTTATTATCTTTATATTGTGGCAATATTCATAATTAAATTTACAAGTTAATAACAATATTTCCTAAAGTACAATAAAAACACCTAAATGTAAGTACTATCTTACAATTATTTACTCAGTACAAGTTGAAGAACTTCAAAAAGATAACGAAAGAGTTCGTAATATAAATAACCAAGCAAACCAGCAGATCCAAGCTATACAAGCACAGGCTCAATACCACAAGAGTGACAGGGATAGAGCCATGGAGCTTCATACTGACACACAGCAAAAATTGTTAGCTGAACAGGTAGGCCAAAGAAATTTCAAATTAATACATAATTCAGGGTTGCAGCTGTAGAAAACTTACGGTTCGTGGTAGACATTTTAAGGATGAGTGGGTGATATCATTGGTAAACTCTAAATAATAGGAGTGGTTTAAAGGATGGTCAAGGGGTTAATAAAGGTGGGTGAAGGGTCATGAAAATAGTTTTAGACTGGGTAGAATACTTCAAGGCTCAATGGCCCCCGCCAACCTCTGCCCACCATAACTACAGTATATTCCTAATATAAAAAAAAAAAATTTACAAACTGCGGTGGGGTCTGGCAGAGGATACTTTTTACAATGTAGTTTAACACCTTTGCTAGCTACGTGAGTTAATTATTTATTGGATTTTTTTTTTTCTCCCAATGCTATTTTTATGCAAATGGTAAGTTTACAATTGCAATAAATGAATACTAATTACCGTACTGATATTGCTGTTTTTGGCATAATGAATGATAATGCAGTGTAGCAATGCTACAGTGTCATTAGTGTGAAATCTCAGAAAATAATCAAATAAAAAAGTAAATATTCCAAAAAGCATAATGATACTCAAACATTTATAAGGCGCCAATTCCAAGAATGGTCAAAGGCACGAGCGTTATTACCCCTGGTCACTGGATAACGTACAATGAAGCAAAACACACTTTATGCCATAAATTAAATCTTTAAAACACTATCCAATGAATTGTATGATATTTCTTCTATTTCGAAATAAGTAAAACATGTCAGATATTTATACAATATTAATATTTTTATTCTATAAGTAATATAGGACATTTACATTTTTTCTAACTGTGTTTTTCAGCAAGAAAATTATCGTTTGAAGTTACAAATTAAAGAATTCACAGAACACAACATGATGTTGAGGGTAAGATCAATAGATTTCATATAAAACTCACTCATGTTTATAGTCATATATATTTATGTAACTACAGCATGTTTTGATGTTGGTGAGGATATGCTGTGCATCACTGTCATTCTCGGTACAGAAAAATTCAGAATGTTAATTTTCTAACCATGCATATTAAATTTTCAAATTTGTGGAAATTGCTGAATTAATCTATGTTCATTACAATTTTTTTTTTTTTTTTTTTCAGAAACAAGTTGATCAGCTTTCACAGTTGAATCCAAATGCACAAGTTGAGCAGCAAAAGGCAATGCAGCAAGGGCAACAGCAACAATTTGGACAACAAAAGCAACAATTGGGACAGCAAGGGCAACAGTTGGGACAACAAGGGCAACAGTTGGGACAACAAAGGCAACAGTTTGGCCAACAAGGGCAACAGTTTGGCCAACAAGGGCAACAAGTTGGACAAAATGTTGGCCAACAAGGGCAACAGACTGAACAAAAAGACAAAAAGTATGAGCCACCATTTGCAGTGCAATACCAGAAATTTAAAGAGCAACAGATTCAACAATTAAATAATATGGGACAGCAACAAATGTTGCCGGGACAGCAACAAATGTTGCCACAACAACAAAATATAGGGCAAATTATACCGGGTGCTGCCAATCTACCAGTGAACGCAAGGGGCCAGACTGGTCTTGAAGAAAGAGATAACAATAAGGAGGAGGAAGAAGATGAGGATGATAGGGGGAAAGGAGCAGCAGGTGATGAAAGTAATGTCAAAGACGGCTATGTAGGAAAATACAAGCATAATAAGGATCAAGATTTGGACGAAATTGATGAGAAAGAGAGAGAGCGAGTAAGAATGGAGAGAGAAAAACAACAATTTGAGTTGGAGAGAGAGAAGGAAGAACAAAGAGTCATTGCTGAGGAGGGCCAACAGGAGAATGAATACGATCAAAATATGGTTGGCAACAAAGATGAAGTTGAAGATGAGGAGGATGACAAGGAAAACAATGGTAACTACAATGGCGAACAAGACTATCAACGACAACGTCTTGAACATATACGTGAACAGAAGGCATTAGAGGAGAAGGAGAATGAAAATGCTAATGAAGGAGATGCCGATGAAGATGATAAAGGCAACGTACTACAGCCGGACGCAAATGTAATCAACGGTAACCCACAAGACCAAGAGGGTGCTGAAGAAACCCAACAGAAAGAGGAAAATTATAAACAAAGACTTGCTGAGCGTGAGCAGAAAATACGGGAGCGGGATGAGAAGAGACAGCGGGAAAGAGAACGAGATGAGAAGTTGATGGAAGCTGAAAAGGCTCGGCAGGTGATGTTGGCCCAGGGCTTGGGCCAGGAGGAGACTGAGAGAAGACTGGCAGAGATGTACCCTAATATGTACCAGCAGGTAGGCCAGTGGCTTGAGGATCATTTTTATTGATGACTTGCTTCTCCCTCATGGTCTGCCTTAAAATATAGAGTAAAATGATACCTGTGTTCTATTTCTTACCGACCACAGCTTCACCTTCTGTTAATATCATTTAATATCAGTATACAGTTTAAATTTTGATCTTTAAAGAAGGAAAATACGAGAGTGTGGTATGGTATGGTAGGATAGTTTTAGAGCACCTTCCACAAATAGAATTGACTCAAGTGAAAGATTCGGAACCTGGGCCTTTTGCTGTTTATGCACATGCTGTAACCAACTAGGCCAATGTGTTAGTTCTCAATGCGCTCCCAGTAACATACTTCATCATGATAGGCTCTTATCATTGGAAATGTACACAATACTCTAACAGATAAAAGTAAACCATCTTGCATACAGTAATCCTAAATGGTAGCATTTAGTAATTAATTCCATCAACTGTTGGACACCGTTATTCATGTTTGTTTTTGTAGGACGAAGGGAATGAAGGTGATGATGGGGATGAGCGCCAGTCCAAAGCAGCTAATGGTGGTGACGGTGGAGAAGATAGCGATGACGATCCAGCCAATAACAATATTGCTAGGTAGGTCATGTCTTTATATTTTTTTTCTCTTTTGCCATGGGTTAAATATATGGCTGCCAATCTATACAGCAGGCCCGTACCATGACTTAATTTGTAGGAGGTTTTATTTCAGTGGAAAGTGGTTCCTTTGGCTTGTATGATCTTCGATAACTCTGGAGAACATTGTAAATATATCTTCGAATATCAATTTTTTCGTTTTTAAATGCAAACCTTTTCCATTTTCCATTTTGTGTGCGGTTGTCGTAACCCCCTTAACCCCCCTCGCTACGGGCAAGTACCTCACATCGTCATTGTGCCGAATTGCGTACAGGTGTGGTGAGTGAGTATCGTTCTACTAAAGAGAGCTTCTCGGTAGTCACAGTGTGAGTACTGAGGATGATGCACATGAATTAGATGTGTATACTGGACTTCTGATTTTAAGGTCTACCAACCAAAACCATGAGGGAGGACGTCTTCAACCAACAATTTTTCAGGCATATAAAGTAGTCTTTGCTATTTATCACTCTTAAATTTTGTTTTACTGAGTGGCCTGATCCCCTGTAGGCTGGGATGCTTTGCTCTGCCTGCCCTTCCCCCTGTGTTACAGCTGACAGCTTTATTGATATATATTTGCTCATTTTTATGGTTAGAGAAAGAGAAAATCACAGACAGGAAGCAGAAAAGCAGGTTGCCATCCAACCACAGCAGGGCGATGAAGAAGATAACGAGGATGAGGATGATGATGAGGAAGATGAAGATTACAATGAAAAACTGCAGCAGCAACGAGAGAGGCATTTAGCAGAACAGGAGCAGCGCAGACAAGGTGAACGTATTTGGAATTCTGTTAATTTAGGGCAGAAAGTTTAAAATAAGGAATTGAAATTTATCATTCAGACTAGTAGACAACAATAAATTTTAAAATAATGTAAAGGTAAAGGAGAATAACCCATAAATTGCAACATCATTGTGCTGAATTGCGTATGAGCGTGGTCTGTGACTACCACCTGCCGTAAGTAGGCGCTTCATGGTAACTACAGTACATGTTCACATCATTCTACAACAAAACGAACCATAACATCGGAGTAACCCTCTACTCTTCCAAAAGATGCAGTGGGTTCTTTACAGTGCACATGAGCCAGATGTATACACTGGACCTCCATTTTAAGTTCTTATCAGAGAAGACTTGGTTTTACCAACTGAACCCTGGGCGAGGAGTGGCTCGAACCAGCGCCGATGTTAGTTAGTGGCACATGTGCCTTACCGCTCAGCCACTCGACTTGCCTGATAATTATGTGCAATAATATAAAATTATATTGTTGAAAAATAATTACAATTCTAACGTTTAAGGTGTTCATTTTTACAGAAATGTTCCAAGGAGAGGAACAAAATGAGCATGCTGATGAAGTGTTTAATCAAAAAGGGGTAAGTAAATTTTAAAGATGTATTGAAAATGACAACAAATCATAAAAAAAATAACTTTGAAATTTACCAGTTTATTTTACAGTAACATAAAAATTATTAACTTGAGCATAGAAATTATTGAATGTAAAACTTTCTATGTTCAAGTCAATAGTTTTTATGCTAATTCAAAATGAGCAAGTTCATTTCAGAAATGATTTTGATGGTTTATATTTTAAGAGAAGTTTTAGATCGTATTACAGTAAATTAAGAACCAGTGCTCACAATCTAACGATTGAGAGAGGTCGATATACTAGTCCAACGATTAGCCCCGATGATAGAATATGTAACAATTGTAATTATGGTGAGGTAGAGGATGAATCACTTTAATAAACTGCACTCAATACTCTAACCATAGAAACACTTTATTTTCGAACCTTAGGGATGGTATAAACAACTTTGATAACTTAAATGATTATGATAAATTCATTAGTCTCATGAGTAGTCAAGATTTTGACATTTTGCTGCCACTCCTCAAATTTACATGAGCTGCTTTTATGGTGAGGGAAGTCTCTAGAATTTAATGTTTCTTGTATTGTCTTGTTTTAATTGTATTTCATTAATGTTGTTTTATCAAGATGTTTGATGTATCAATAAAGTAACCATAATAAATGTATCTAGGATCCCACCTAGTCCCTCCTCCCCCTCAATTCTCAGTAGTAATAAATCACCTTACTTTGTGAGCTAGGTCCCCTGCACCTAACCACTGGTCAGTGGGTGAGGGGTGAAGACGAGGGGACATACCCTCACCATCCATAATAATCATCCTAAACACAAATTCAAAATTCTTATATATTTTCAGAATTCAAAGATTTTAAAATTTTATACTGGGGGAGGCTATGCTTTTACTGTGTAGCGTGAAAGAGGAGTAATTCTAGTTTTACATAAAGTTTAAACTATCGGTTCATAAATATGTAAATTAATTTATGAATATTCAACAAAAGTAGTCATTTCTTAATTTTTATTTGTCCTCAAACTTTTACTTATTTCTGATTTTTAGGGTGAATTAGGGAATCAAGAAGCACAAGGTGCACGACCAGGTAAGTGTTTAATGATTGATTTTTCTTTTTTTAATTTGAAAAAAAAAAGTAAATCCTTACCGAGCCACAGGGCAGCATTTACTGAAGCAATGTAGGTGAAGTGCCTTGCGAAAGGACACAAGCGAAATGGATTGAAACCCTGACCTCGGGGTTGGGAAACCAAACCAATTCCACCGCTCCAAACAGCCTCCAAACTTTAACCTAAATTATGTAGTCTTGTTTATTTGCTGATCATCAATTTTACAATTTTTTCACAGTTGATGACCCCGATGATGCTAATAATAATGAGGTGAGGTTTTTTTTTCTTTTGAAACATAAAAAACTGAATAAATTAATAATGTACAATATATTATCATTCATTTTTAAAAATCAATATATTTTGATTCTATACAAGCTATAAAGTAAATACATATTTTAAAATGTTTTTGTGTAATTGGTTATTTTGCTTAATTTTAACAATGCCAGTTAACATCATCTAATAATGGTTTTTTTATCCCACATCAGTATCGTGAAAGAGAAGAAGCTGATTTTGATCCAGGCCAAGAGGTAAAATATATATTTACTGTTGTCCTTGATTTGCAAATTAAGTAAAAAAATCAGTGTGTATAATCCCTGTCTCTTATACACATCTAGATGTGTATAAGAGACAGATATATATTCCTTATTAATTGTTATATAAAATAAATGTTATAACACATATTCTGTTTAATGAATTTTTAACACTTGCTTACATGGAAAATATAGTACATCAATTTTTATCATAACTTTAATTTAATATGAAATCTGTCAATTCTTTTTGGCTGCAAGATCATAAATTGAAATATGAATCATATATTTAGCTGAAGATAATAATTTATAATTTATTATAATTAAATATTACATTTACTTAGTATTTTGAGAATAATTTCTATCTATTTTTTTTTTCTGCAGGAGGAAGAAAAGGAATAAAGGTTGCCCTCATAATCTGCAGATATATCATTGCTGTACCTGTCAACCATCCGTAGTCATATTTACGCAGTAGTGGCAGAAAGACCGTTGTTACTTGTGAAAAATAGTAGTAAGCAGACTTGAACATGGTTGCCATTTCATGCAAGTTATAAGCACTTTTTTAACTCTTTGATTATCTGTTTTATAATTATTACAGTGGCGGATCCAGAGAAAGGGGGGTCCCCCAAAAGTTGGGCCTATCGAGACAACACTATTCTAGGGGGAGCGGGCAGGTCCCCCGCAAACATTTTTGTGTTCTAGACGCCCGAAAATAACATTTGATGTATTTTGGGCTATATTTTTCTCTTTCTTTCTCTTTTTTTTTTTTTTTTTCCTTTCACCCACACCCCCCCCCCCCCCTCTAAATCCGTCCCTGATTATTAAGCACAATTTGATGAACAGTCGGAATATGTTTTCTGGTCACCAGTGTGTATTTCTTTAACACTGTATTTTTCTTTTCATCTTTTTTTCTGCTAAGAGAACTCATAGAGTTGTGTATTATATAAATCCATAGATTTTATCAAATGCAATATTTGTTTACAATGACTGGAAGCATATCTTATACTTTTGCTTGATGTTTGCCGAGAAAAGGTTTTGTAATGTCTTCCACCACTGTTGAAGTCAACAGTCGCATTTGAAACTCATCTACAAGTTTTTATGAGGGTGCTAAAGTAGAAAGGTAATAAGATGTTTCAAAATTCCTAAATATTTGGGCAGTTAGAAAAAATAGCCTTTGTCACATGGCATTGGTTGCATTCCCAGGGCTGCTTGCCCAGTTCTGTAGGATGATGGTTACAGCATTCTGTTGAAAATACCTATAAATCATTCTGTTGTATGAAGTATATTAAGTTTGTATACCGCATACATAGATTATAGGCATATGATTGGTTAAAAAGCGAGTAATAAATTCAACCATCACTCCTATAACGTAGGTAGTATGATAGTTCATGAATTCATGGGGAAAAGTGCTTTTTTTCTCCCTATCGTGACGTAATCTCTAGACCTTACTTATAACGTTGCTTTGTAATTTATGACATGCTCGGACAATCCTCTACGACGAGATAAATTGGCCCTTTGACCGGCTAGGTAGGAGGTAGGCCTACCCTTTTCATTACTTTGTTTAGGCCTCGTAGAAGCTATGTATAAGGTATATAAAACAAAGTGCTACATTTTTAAGGTTAACTAAATGGTAGAAAGGGAAGAAAATATGAATGATTATTTAAATAACCATGTCTGTGGATTTGTGTAGGGGATAATGGTTTATCATGGTATGTGATAGGTGTATAGGGGAGCGTGTGATGGTGTGTCCGAGATGTATGTGATGATCACATGTATATACAGTACTGTATCCTCTGCATTAATTTAACGTATTTTGTTTAATTTTTTATATGTCAGGTGCAACCTAAGAACACATCCAGATACATATGTATGGACAGTACAGTATGCATACACATACACATAATAAACAATATAAAGACAGTGTAACACAAAATTGTATTCAAAACACAAATAATTTGCCTTGACTTCAAGACTATATGATCATACTCTATGTGTATATTATTATTTCTCTAGTACTTTATAGTGTCTTAGGGTGTGTGTCTTGGTATGTCCAAGGGTGTAATTATGTTTGAGTGATAAGATGAAAGTATGCATGATTGGCATACAGTGTTACCTCTGCCAAGTGAGTGTATTTTGTGTGTGTGTGTGCTAAAACTTTTTTCTTTAATGAAAAACAAATATTTGTAACAAATGCAAAATTAGAATTTGAGTCTATCAAGTAGAGTGTTGAAATAATGAACTACAAACATGATTGTGTTATTGTTGTAGGAGTGAAATAAATCTTACCCCTAAAATAGTAGGATTATCATAAAAGATTTACTTTTTAAAATAAGTTGTCCAGTTATTTAACTTAGATTTGCATGCATCTTGATGTTGCCCTTGTAAAATAATGATATTTGATTAACCAATTAATTGTGGACTTAACTAAAGCAGGAATCATTCAAAAAATTCAATGAAATGTCAATCTGAAGTTTAACATTTTTTAAAGAAAAATATTTATTTTTAGTACCATTTTTTCTAAATTTTTACCTTTATTTATTCAGATTCCAAAATGTTCAACCTGTTTTTGTGTTACCCAAGTAGAATTTGGATATCAGGGTTAGTTGGTTGGTCGGTCGGCATTTAGTCTTTTTTTTTTACTGTTCTGCAGCTTATTGGCAACTATCAGTTGGGAAACTGTTAAAGCTGTTTTGTCCCTTGAAAATGACAACAAATCATAAAAATATTTTGAAATTAACTTGCTCATTTTGGAATAACATATAAATTATTAATTCATAGAAATTATTGAATTTTAAAATGTGTACCATGATTTTTAAACTGGATAATTTTTTTTTTTAAATAATAAACAAAACTTTAAGTGACTAGAAAAGTTTCTATCATTTTTCCCTGTAAAATGATGAGTAAACATATTTTTAAATACACTAATTTCTATGTTCAAGTTGATAAATTTTATGTTAATTTGAAATGGGCAAGTTAATTTCAAATATGATCTTTATGACTTTTTTGGTATTTTGCATGGAACAATTATAGTCATGGTTGATTTATCAAATTTAGAATTTATAGCTTGAAAAATTTCGAAACTATTGTCGGCTACTTGATTTGAAAAAACATACATTTTTTTCAAAAAAGGAAATGATCCCCAGATCTTTAGATACTGGTGGTTGTAACAGGTTTGGGCAACAGAATGATTTTTTTTTACTTTATTCTTTGTGTACATGATATAATGAATTATAGAGAACATCATAGTTCTCAGGAACCCGTTATAATACTGGTTACATATGACTGGTATACAAAGCACAGAGGTAGGCTTATCATTAGTTGCGGAAGCTATTCCTTCTGGCTACTTGTCATGTGACCAGTGGGCTCTGATGAGAATGATATTTACATTATAAATAAAACATTTCAGAATATTATTACATATAGGCTTCTTTAAGCTTATGCACATTGGAATTTTTATAATTTCATATCAATAAGATTGAATAGATCATTAAAACAAAGGTTTCTAATATGTAAAGATTAAATGAATGTTCATGATTATTATCAAAATCATGATTTTAATTTTGTAAGGCAGGTAATATTGAAACTATTTATTAAATAAAATATTCTTCTATCTTATAATTTTACAGATACATGGTGGATGTACTTAAACTCGTATCATTAATGTTGTTCATTCATTTAATGAATAGGGTGTTAATAATATTTTTAGTATTAAATTCATTGCTGTTTTGTTTCATATGTAAAAAAAATGTAATTTCATATTTTTTATTAGATATCTTTATGTTCAAAAAATTCATCAAGCAATAATAGTAATAACAATTAAATAGAAAGCTGATTTTTACCAATCATCAAATGTTTACATGATTCAAAATTGTACTTTTCGTCAATGATCAGTGATAATTGCTTTAAATGCGTTTTACTTTACTTTTATTTCATCTTTTGATATTTCTTCATTATCATATATTTAAACTGTTTAATAATAATAAATGTTATTACTTAATTTTTCCACTGTACTATAATTCCATTTCATTGGACTAAAAGTGTAATTGTGATAAAACATTTTTTTGAAAAAAATAGCGTATTGTGAACCTTATGATTTAAACCGAAGATTCTCTGCTTATTATAGGTTGTTAGTCTACCAACTGAGGTTAAGCATGTGCTTAATTTGAAAGTACAAAGGAAAGTTCACAACTTGTCCTCATTGCTTGGTTGGTAGAGGTTCGAAACAGTATTCTGAGGTGCTACTGTTTAAAAAAAAAAAAAAAAAACTCTTTTTAAACAAACCTCATGTGAAAATTACTTTATATATAAACTTATGAAAATAATATCCTTGCAAAGAAAAAGTTTTTTTTTAGTTTGTTTTGTTTTTAAAAGGTTGAATGTTTTAATATCACAGCATGTGCCTTAAAATAAGATTGAGATTTAAGTTATTAAAAAATATATTTTGCCATTTGTGTTTCTTATAGTGTTCCTTTGGTTGAACAGATCAATATGTTTAATGTCTTTTGTCTAGTTTTTTGTTGTTGAATAATAACCTTAATCCAAATATTTAGTGATAATATTTGTGTAAAGCCCCTTCAGATAGACGTTGCTGCAATATTGTGGTAAGCATGCCGGTATAATAACCGGTCTATACCCCTTCACACAGCGCCTTTGTTACCGCAATATTGCGATAATCTTTAGGCTTTTCCTTCTGAATGGGTCGTATAAAATGACGTAATATTGGCGGTTTAAATACCACCGCGCACTTGTTTTAAACTTTAACCTTGTTTGTTTATGCATAAATGAACACGCTGGCTTGATTGCCGCAATATCAAGTAAACCCTTTCAGACAGAGCAAGCCAGTAACTGTTACCGCAATATTACTAGGGTGCAAGGTGGCCTAATGTAAGCCGCCATATTGGCGTATCGACCCTTTCAGACAGAAACCCATGCTGGCGTGCTTACTGCAATATTGCGGTATTGCAGCTCTGTCTGAAAGGGGATTTATACTGGCAGAGAGCCAATTTCCGTAACATCAATTTGGCAGAGCCGATTTCTTGGTCTTCATTTTGCAGCAGACCAATAATTTCTTAACTTGATTTAAAGCTTTATCCTCACTACCAATTCATGTGACAAGTGCCTGTGATTTACCCATATACTGTATATGTGATTACATCATTTACCCATATACTGTACTGTATATGTGGTTAATCATTTACCCATATACTGTATATGTGATTACATCATTTACCCATATACTGTATATGTGATTACGTATTTTGTCAGATCACAGTTTTCTCACAAAAATTGGTATGGAGAGCTGAACAGAGCAATTTCTTTAGATGTTTTTTTTATTTTACTGAAATTCAAATTTAGTTAAGTTGTCGTATAACAGCAATTTCTGTGATATGCATGATTATCGTTGATTATTAATTTTACCTGTAATAAATAATTCTACATTACGAATCTGTTTTATGAAATATCTTATTTTATTTAATGGGAATGTAATAAATGTAAATATTTATTTCTTACAATCAATATATCTGCAACGTGTGAAAGTATATTTTGTTTGTTTATTTCAGGTACTAAATTTGAACACTATCTAATAGACTGAATGTAATCTAGATTAGATTGTACAGACATACAAAATACGAGAACTATTAAATTGAAATTTGAAATGTAAAGTGTTGGAATATTCTTGATAAGTTGTGTATTGGACGGCACTTACATAAAAGCATTATAGATATGATACTGGCACTGGTTCATAACTTTTTTTTCATGCGCCTTGAGCACCTTTGGTGGAGATGTGTGCTTTATAAATCTTTATTATTATTATTATTATTATTATTACTATTACTATTATTATTATTATTATTATTTTTCTTCTTCTGTACCCTTTCTCCAGCGTATGCGTGTAGTATCAATCAAACAACAACTGACCATTGCCAGGAACGAAATAAATCTACTAATTTTTTTCATTTTGGTGCCCCAAAATAGAGCTTATCGTATCCATATTGTTATTTTTGAACTTATCACGCCAAACATCTCAGATCCCAAAAGACCGGACTGATTCGGCGCCCATGTAGGTATCCGAGTTCCCATCGAAGCATAGTGGCTTTTCAACATAATAGCATCGTTGTCTTGAAGTAGATGACACGGCTTGCCGCCTTCACCCGGAAGCCCCATGTGCAGTCCGCCCTCGTAATACCTATGCAGTGTAATGAAATCATCTAAATTAAATGTGAGCAATGTAACTCACCGTACACCACGCTAAATGAGTGGTGCAAGAGGCTGGTAGGCCAGTAGTGGCGCTCTGGGAGCCCCTCTTGTCTTTTCAAACTGTCGTTTAATATCTAACATATTGGTTCTCTTGTCCAAGAAAAGTTTACAATTATCATATGAACTGTGGTGGATGCAGACGGTGCAATCGCACCCCCTACATGTTATTAAGAAAAATAATTGTTGTAATTGTTTTTGTTGTTAGGCCCTACCGGTAAGACTTTTAAGCTGTGATCTGGGTACCTAAAGGGCCATATTCTCAAAATTTTCCCACCTCAGCCCCACCTTGGTTTGACTCTCATGCACCCCCAAATCCTGCATCCGCCCCGGATGAACGTATTTGATGAGATACAGTTGATTATTTGTGGTGCTACAGCAAATTGCGAACTACACTATCACCATAGTTCAAAAGGTATGGAAAGTTCTCACCTATAATTGAAGTTATTGGTATTTCCCCAGCAAATTACTTCACCCATGAACGTTTTCGCCGCTCGTTGATGTTTGATGACGTTCCACGAATAATCGCCGTTCGCCCGTGAGTACATTGCCCAAGTGTCATCCTCAAACAAGCGGTCGGTATCGTTGCTATATTTAAAACTTGCATATGCGTCGTCAGAGGGTACCCATCCATCGCTGTCGCCGCTTATAAACGAGAAACGGATCTGCCGTCGCCCTGTGGATGTTTATAGTTGATCGATGTTATCTAGAAAGCGATCCTATAGGCCTATGTACTACCAATACGCGGTTAGTGCAATGCATTATAAATGACCAATGGTCATAGGTGTTTCACTGCGAAAAGTTCTCATGTACTCATCTGTATGGCAACATTTTTGTGAAATCCAGTTTGTGCACACGACACTGTTTGATGTACATTCCGACAGATCTCATTTCATTCATCTCGTCAAAGAAAATTTTTTTTTTCAAAGTAAGCATTAAAAAGTAAACATAACTAAAAATTCAAAGAGTCAACAGAAATAACATACAACCCAATAGGATTGCCGAAGTGCAAGCTCAATTGCCGTCGGTAGGCTTTCCAAAGTTGGTCCACAACAATAACAATCAAAGGTTAAATAGTAAACGTTTTTACACATGAAATAAGTACAACAAATTGTTCATTATTTTTTTCTGATGAAAATGGAGAATCATGAACTTCAAAAGAAATGGATTTTCCCAAACAAATATGATGCGAGAATGAATAACGCAGATGCGCAGAATGGATCGTTCCGCTAAGAGCCCACCCCTTGGTTCAAGTCCCACAGAACGACTGCAGCGTAGACGTACGTAAACACGCGTTTACAGGGCGTGTGCGTGTTCAGTTGTTAAGTTTGATTTGAGTCTCCAGAGAGGTCTATTGTAACTTGAGGATCAAAAAACTGTCAAAACTCACCAGATGAAAAAATCTCTTGAATGAGGGCGTTTCTTAGATGTGTTGCAGAGTCACGTCCAGATTCTTCCACGAGATCTAAAATATCACGCTCGTGTATGCTGTGGAACAGGTTGGATTGGCGTGGGTCCACGGATGATCCTGTACACACTTTGCCATTTTGCTCTGGACAGAC